TTGTATATATTGCATTTGGTCACAATATAGTTTAGTTATTGATACCAGACCAGACCCGATCTATATATTATTATATCATATGTGCACACGTCAATATTTTAAATTGAATTTGGCTATATTTAGATTTATTCTAATTAATTAGTAAATTAATTATAAGTTTAACTGCAAATAATTTAATCACAGATTTAACATTAGGTGATATTTTGGTTTAAGGAGAATCGAATGATAGAATTAGATTTCATATTCGGTTAGAAAATATTTATAATATTTACTTATAATTAATTGTAAATAGGTACTGTCTTAACTCTTAATGGTGCTATTATCAAACAAACGTCTAATTATAAAATCTTACTAACCACATAAAATATATCAAATAATATGTACCACTTAAAGATATAGTAAAATTATTAATAATATTATAAATGTCATATTTATTGATAGAAAAGTATTGTGAACTGGATATAATTGCAAATGCAATGTTGTTGTTTACGGCTGGTTCTGAAACTGTAACTGCCACAGCATCTTTCTGTTTTTATGAATTGGCACTGAACAAAGATATCCAAGACAGATTACGTGCCGAGATAATCTCGTCGAAAATAAAACATGGTGGACAGATCAACAACGAATTTTTGGAAGATCTTCATTACGCCGATATGGTTTTAGATGGTAATAAACATATTATCATAAGTTATTAAATATTAATAATAAATTATCTTGTAAGGTTTTTATGTAGATAAACGTTAATTTGAATTATGTTTTTAAGAAACACGCTATAATTATTTTATTTCAGAAACTCATCGTAAGTACACGATAATTACCGCCCTGTTGAGAGGAGCTACACAAAATTATAACGTACCCGGGGAGTCATTAATGATTGAAAAAGGGCAAAAAGTCTTAATACCTATTTACAGTATACATCACGACCCAAAGTATTATCCAAATCCCGAAACTTTCGATCCCGAAAGATTTAATGCTGAAGAAAAATCTAAGCGACCCAATGGAACATTTTTACCATTTGGCGATGGACCTCGCCATTGCATAGGTATAAATATTGATATTCGAAATATGGGTATAATTTTCAAAATTTTACTTGACATTAATTGTTATATAATTATTCATTATGTTATATTGATAAAATTCAAAATATGTATTTTTTCAGGAAAACGTTTCGCTGAATTGGAATTGAAAATAATTTTAACAAAAATGTTATCGAGATTTGAAATTTCGCCTTGTGAAAAAACGGAAATACCGCTGCAAATGAAAAAAGAACGTGGAATAACTTCACCAAAAAATGGAATTTGGTTAAATTTTAGTCCGATTGTGGATTAATACGTGATAATAACTCATAATATATTTTGGTATCGATACAATATGATATTCCTACATAATAATATTTTACTGCTTTAACTATTGGAATTAAATGAACTATTTGTTCAATGTATTTCATAAATTGCATATTTTTCAGTAATTATATGATACGGATCAAATAGTTAGTCAGTTATTTATAGCGTATTCGAAGTTACATTAATCTGGAATATAACAATTTTATAATTAATATATTATTGAAAATTAAAATACTATGATGATACCACCTGTAGGCTGTAGTTACGAATAATATTGATATTTTATGTAATATTGTATATAATTGTTGTTATATTATGCATTACTAAAGTTCTTCACGGTTACTTACATCACGATCTGTTCAAGATGTGTTCAGTTCATGGTCATATATTAACGAATATCARCAGTGCGAGTTTACAATAAACAATAAATAAACAATTATACGTGGGATTTTTTTTATTATGGTGTCTCCAATATAGGCCTAATCCACATCATAATAATCAAAAACACGCGAACACCAGTCGACTAGCTAAAATAATAATGTACCATTTCCAGAAAAAAGTACACTTCTCGCTTGTGTAACATAACATAACATCGTTTTATCAGTGACACATATTTTAGTATAAATAAAAAAATATCAAATTCAACATTTAATAAGTTTGAAATTTATAAATTATATTTTTGTGGCAGCACGGAATTTACACATTTTCGGCTTACTATAGGGTTGAATTTTCCTTTGTTTCGGACTCTAGAAAAGCAAGATASGCAGTTGGCGCTGCAGAGGAATTTGTATATGTCACATCTCACATAGTATTATAAGTTTAAGTGGAGTGAAAATGAGTTAAAATATTGCGGCTACCTATATACGATTTTCGTATTAGAAACCGGGTAAAAAGTGTTTGTAGGTCTCTTATTATTTTAAAAACAATGTTGTGGATTTTTTTTGCAAATTTAGCAATAATAGTTTAGTTATAGCGGTCAGTTATTTTAGAGTTACGCCAAAATAAGAAAATCGCTAAATGAAAAATCTAGTGAAAATCCAATGTTGTTCAAATTTWAATTTCAAACGCTCATAAAAATTTAATATGAATTTCTGGTGAATATTTATTTTATGATAAAGGTGACATACTTAAAAATCTTGTATTACATTTTTTATGAATTTCTAGCGATTTTTCGTGATTTTTACGTCTTTTGTCAAAATTCAAAATTTGAATGCTTTTAAAACAAAATTGTGACTATAATATATTTATTTTATTTTTCAACCACTATTATA